GAGAGAGAGAGAGAGAGAGAGAGCGAAAGGGATATAGGCTTTGGGAGGATCTGTTCTAGCCTTTTTCAACTTTTAGAATGTGAATTTTGACCTAGTATTTCATGAACACATGCAACCGATAGCACAGATTACGAAATTGCTATATTTAAAATAAAAAAAAATTTTCCGCCCCCAATTTTGGACACTGCACATCTGAACGCTTGGCTGACAATAAATGACTACCTCAGAATTACAAAGCTCTATCAGTTCAGTACCTAGATCAGGGAAATTTGGCGTCTAAGACTTTGAGTTTCACATCATGTCAAGCTTTTTCGAATGCAATTATTTGAATATCTTGATAACGACTCCGAATAATCTTAGGATTTTTATAGAACAGATAGGACATTTGGTTTCTGACCTCATGGTCTTAGTAACTGAAAACGGGCAAAAATGTCAGATAGAAGTTTGGAATTCAAAGGCAGCGATATGTCTTGACTCCTCCATTCTCGCCATTTGGAAAAGTGACACAAAACATGAGCAGTTGATCTGTATGTCAGGCCGAAGAGCTAGAACCCAAATGGCTGCTGGATCAGAAAAGTAAAGTAAGAAAAAAAAAGTATTTGTCATGTCAATTATTTGTCAACTTTATAACATACATTTGATCCGTCATGTCAATTTGTCAACTTTATAATATATGCAGTTGTTCCATCATGTCAATTTGTCAATTTCATAATAGATCTATATGCAGATAATATGTCATGTCAATTCTTCAACTTTGTAATATAATCAGTTGTTCTGTCCCCCACCCACAGGCTACAGCGGCACCAACTGCGAGGAGAACAAGGACGACTGCCAGGGGGTCACGTGTGAGAACGGGGGTCACTGCATCGACGGCCTGGACGCCTACACGTGCAACTGTCAGCAGGGGTACACGGGCCGCCACTGTGAGGTGCGGGTCAACGAGTGCAACTCCAACCCCTGCCAGAACGGGGGCTCCTGCAACGACCAGATCAACGGATACGAGTGCAAGTGTCTGCGGGGCACCTCGGGTATGTTGAGTTTGTTTGTCTGTCTGTCTGATTTTTCCCCCCAGAACTAAATGACAGTTATTGTGT